ACAGGAGATAATCAGTTCACAGACATAACACAAACTAGTTTTCTATTGCTTTTACATTAGCTATTGCTTCAGTTACATTCAGTGGATATAACTAAAAGCTGTTCACTTTTCAAAGCCGTTAACTAAAATACTCCCTTGACCACACAGCTCTTTTTGCCACGGCAAAAAAGATTGCCATGGCAGGTCAATGATACAACAAAATTCCTAAAACTGGTGATTTTATGCAAGTATAGTATACCAGCAGTTACAGAAATGCTAGATTAGTATATTCTTGTGACCATATCAGAATATAATAAATCCACGTTGAATCAGGTGGCATCTTTCAAATGACAACTTTTAACAAATAAATCACAATCATGTACTTCTGAATTACAATGGTAATGTTTTAATGCTACCCACTATAGTTGGGACAATAACATTTAATTTCTGTTATATTAATTTATCAGTGTAGTTTTTGATTACAGATTTTTATTTTCCATAAAGCCGTGTATAAAATCAGCAAGAGCAAGGAGTCTAAGTCAACATAATTGCATAAGCTGCTTTTCTGCAGAAATTAATCACAGTAAAAAAGTAATCAACCTGCATACATAAATGGCTGAAAACCTGAAACAGGAGAAGACCTGGAATTGTACGGGGAATTCATCAGTAACTGGTGGGATGAGTTTTTAGTCCAAGATTATTTAAGATTTATACCAGTGAACTCAAAAAAAAAAAAAAGAAAGAAAGAAATCATCACTGAATAAAGGTAACATAAAATTGAAGACCAGTGAATAACATGACTGAGAACTGAATGCTGAGTGAGCTCCACAGTTTCCATTCCAGGATATTCACAAAACAGAATATAGAGAAAAAAGAAAGAAATGAAATGTGTGTTTTTTTTAATCTTCCTAGAGAACATGCATATTAAAAAATCATTTCAAAATAAAGGTTTCAGAAGTTTAGTGCACAGCAGACCCCAGCATACTCCATGTTACAAGCTTGGGACTCAACGGGGGGGCATCTAAGGGCCCAAAGCCCTTACTCTCTGGTGTTTCATGCTTTGCTTCAGAGTCATACACTCTGCTTCAGAGTCATAGATCATAGAGAAATCAGATGTTTCAGGCTGGCCAACCATACACAAAGGTATATTTTTAAGAACAAAGAATGCAAGACATAAATGATTAGATTGGGAACACTAATCTTACAAATCAGTGATTCTGAAAAGGGAAACAGTAGGAAAAAAACCCAAAACTTAAACTAGGTAATCAGTTCAAATCTATGGTTAAAATGGGCATACAGTCCTTTAAATATTTAAACAGAGAAGTAGTGAATGGGAACACGACAGTTTTATTACCTTTCTGTCTGGCTCCGTGAACTGTATGTCCTGTTCTGGCATACATACTTTAGGAAAGATGTCAGAAAATTAGAGGAATTGAAAGAATTATGAGAACGATGAAAGGATATGAAAACACTCTCTAATGACAAACCCAGGATGCTCAGTCTGTTCCTTTTAGGCAAGAGAAGGTTACAGTGTGCTTTGGTTATAACTCGTAAATTCCTAAATTGGGAGATTGGCAACAAAAGGCTTTTAACCCTAGAGAATAAAGGATCAGTCCTATCTAAGGGTGGGACATAGAGGCCATGGAAATGCAGGCTAATGGGTGAAAAAATTGTAACAGAAAGAGCAACTAGGCACTGGATCAACCAAATAAGCATGGTGGAGTATTCTGTAGTATTGGGACCTTAGTACCAAAGCCTGAGGCACTGCTAAGAAGAAAGCCTCAAGTTCAACTACAGCTACATGAGTAAGAGCTGCAGTTCAAGTGAGGAAAGTCCACTGGCTTGTAGTATGAAGCCCAGGGAGTCACAATATTCTCTCTTTATCTTAAATTCTAGTATAATGAAAATATCCTTTTCTTAAATAAACAAACAAACCAAAACAACCCAACTTCTTTCACCTACTGTTAGTGCAGTTTTTGGAGTTAATCAACATTTCCAGCTTATAGGAATGTCGTCGTTTCAAAGCAAAATTTTGACTCATGAAAAATGACAGTAACAAAAACCAAAATAATAGAAAAGTTTAATAGGTGAAGATGAGTTAGGCCTCTCCATCAGTTATGTTAGCAAAAACAAACAAAGAAACAACAGTGGAAAAGAAAAACAGTTGCACTGGTTTGCCTTGTATGGCTCACTGGATTAATCTGCGTATGGCTATAGATTAATATTTCACTCTTAACAGCAAGATGATAAAAGTAGTACTTTGCCCTAAGAAAATAATCCTCTTGCACAATCTGTGTATGGATATAGACTAATACTTTACTATCAACAGCAAGATGATAAAAGTAGTGCCTAAGAAAGCATTCTTGCACTGAATTCATGTTCATTCAAAAGTTCCCACTTGCAGATAATCTAAAGTCTTTGTTGCAACTTGATAGCTGATGATGAAAAAATTATTTTGTAACAGAAAAGCCACTTTTTAGTGATCTTAAGGTAGAATTTTAAATTTAAGAATTAAACATTTGTTTCTTTCTCCTATTTGTTATCTATAGCTTCATAAAATTGCAAAGCAGTCAGATATGAACTCCTTGTGATTCATCTGTATTCCTTTCTTCTTTATCTGCTCATTGCACTGTGTATGTAATATTTCAAGCAAAGTTCTCCCCCATCTAATACAAAACCCCTGTTCCCTGGTGTGAGCTTTTTAAACTCTCTCAATCCTCAGCTCCTCTGTGCCAATCAGCAGTTCTCTCCATATTTATCTTCCATTCTTTTCATCATCATCAGTAATAGAAATTCTGCCAACCAAATTATGCTCTATATTTTTGCAGTATATTCAGCAATCCCTTCTGTGTTTGCTTATTTCAGACCAGAGTGTAAGTAGGCTTTGTTGCGTGGCAATGACATGTAGCCTCATCTGCAAACTAGATTAGGGTTTCCCAAATCAGTACGCTCGCATGCCATCACCTTAAAAAGGGAGCTGTATTGTACCGCATGGTGGCAGCCGGGTGGTTTCCAGCTATAGGACCAGCTGTGCTCAGCTGTAGAGGGTTGTGAACGCTTTGTGAAGGGCTGCTTCCCATTTCCCTGGGCACAAATGAGAAGGGACCAGGGGGGAACCAAGCTTCCTCCTTCCATTTATTTCCTGCACATCACTTCAAAACAGCTTGTGCAGATCCAATACCGATTTGTATTCTGAAGAAAAAATAACATGTCTCTATTTGTACAAATAAATTAACTCCTACTTGGCTTATGAAAAGATGCTGAAGATTAATGGCATTATGGAGATGTCTTTCAGCCGTAGTGGTGCATGATTATCAGATACTTGTGGAATTTGTGGTGCTAACAGTTAAGGGGTGTTTTGTGGATGAGTATCAAAACTACATGAAAAACGTTAATTCTAGGTTTTTGTTCCTTGGTAACTTCCACATCAGAATTTCAAAGAGTTTTCCAAAAAGGGGGAATGGAAGTAACTGAGGAAGAACAAAGATGGAACCTTAAAAAAGAAAACTCAGTGCAGAAACACATTTTCAGGAATTTAACGTATACGAACAAAAGGAATGCTATATGGAAGAAAGTGATAGAATGAGCTAATTCAAGGGGAAGGAAGGTGCTCTCTCAGTATATGAAAAGTGTTTCAAATTCACCTTCCTTAATGAGTTTATGGAGTAGTCCTCTGTTACACAAATTTATTCTCCATTTTCTTCTCTAAATATTTGTTTCAAAGTCTCTTGGACAGACTGGATTCCTGCTAGTAAAGACTGCAGACATTAGGAAGAGGACACAGTCCTGAAACTCTTGCAAACTCCTTCTCTTCACATATTAGGGGAACACTACCTTTGCAAATAGAAATCTCACCAGTATCACATTTCCAACTTACAAAAACAGTGTAAGAAATTGAAGCTGGAGATAATAGAGTAAGAAAAAATTCTCATCCCTTTACTTAGTTTGCTACAAATGAAAAAGAAAGGGAGTAGCATTTATTGCATCTAGGGACCTGATTTAATTAAAGCACACCACAAGCGCTCACTTTTAATACATATATGACATCTTCTCTGAAATTCATCAGACTCACCTATACACTGTAGTGCCAAAGGGAGTTTTAGAAGCCAGTGGACCAAGCACTCAAATGGTGTAAAAGGCTGCAAAGGCTCCATTAGTTTCAATTATCCTACACCAATTTATAATGCGATAATCCGTAGCAATATTTTACAACAGGAAACCAAGTTATCTCCTATGGACTCAGCAGAGCTCCACCTGCCATGATCACACATTTTTCACAGCAGAGTTCCTGACAAGTCCACACCACCATCTCCCTTAGAAACTGGCAGTTTAAATTGCATTCTCTTTGTTGGTGTATGAAGATAACTACAATTAATTGTATTGTTTTGCTGTACAGTTATCGTGTGAATATTCTTCCATGATGGCATCTTTTATTGAGGTCTAAAATACAAACACTTGTTATGGGGAGAACATGATATAATATCTAAAACATATTGCAACCTTCTAACTCCTTTTTCTTGATACTTTCAAAAACTACTAAGTTACTGGCATTTTTCTTTTACAACCTATTCAGCAGAATCTCTTCCTTCAAATTTATTTGAGTTATTGAGCGCTATATGTTAAAAACAGCTATACACATTAAGTCCCCTCTTATCTTAAAGGAAGAACAAACAAAAACCTCCCACAAGTTTTCTGCCCAAAATCAGGCCTTTGAAGGCTGTAATGTAGAAATGTATCTGTAGTACAGGGGCTACCTAATGAGACCTGGCATATGCAACTGCAATGAAAGAGATGTTGGAATAGAGGTTTCCAGCCAGTCAGACGGCTGCTTCTCCCGTTTCCAACAGAAGCAAGAATGCAAGACAGAGATACCACACTCCATGTCAAATGCAACATCCACTCAGTCACATAATTTAAAATACAGTTACAGGTATGCATCCCACATCTGTAATATCAAAGTAAAAATTCTAAGGTATTTTCAATTATTGTCAGAAGAATAGGAAGCAATGCAACAGCAGCAATCAGAAAGGCTTCAGCAGCACTACAAAAACAAGACAGTCTCTTACCACGAGTACAGAGCAATGATTTTTGTTAATATCATTTTTACTTACGTGATACAAAGTGGTTTCTGGTCCAGGTGTGCCCATGACTTCTTGTCTCAATGAGTCCATTTGTAAGCTAGGCAACAGCGAGTAATGGCTTGGACTACTACTCTTGTCTCCCTTCTTTTTGGATTTTTTCCCAGTATCCTTTTTGCTATTCCTTTGAAACATGTAGTCGTCTTGACCTATTTTCTCATTGCTCATATAGCGAAGTAATGAATTTTCTATTGAAGGAAAATACAGTAATGCAAAAGAGTGTTGTGAATTGTTACATGGAGGACAATCTCCCTTCCAAAATACATACTGTTCCTGCATCTGCTGAGATCTAAGATTTTAAGTCTTCAAGGCTATCTCATTAACAAAACATATCCTCCTCTTTGGTCTGGACATAATAAGAAAACAATGAATCTTTTGGTAGGGAAAAGATTCAAGACACTTGCAGTTTTGTGGTTTCTCTGACAAAAAGAAGAACAGAACATAAAATAGGCCCCACAACTACAAAGGCTGTCTTGACAGTTTTCAAAAAATGAGTGATAGCACAATTTATGATCACATTTGAAAACTTTTTTTTTAAGGCAAGATCCTAGATAAATGCAAATGACTGAGAGGCCAAACATTTACAAGTAATTTGCTTTGAGCATTCACCTGAGCTTGTTCTCTTTATCATCCATGCTTTCTCCGAATACTCTTCCAGCATCTACCAATTTGTAGCCAAGGGACATCCTGAGTCAGAGGTAGGGTTTGTGAATTTAGAAAACCTCAACATATTTGTCTTTCATGAACTTGTCTAATCTTTGCTTATATTCATGTAAACTTTAGCATCCATAACCTCCTCTAGCAAGGGGCTCCTTAGTCTAAACCCACACTGCATAAGGAGCCAGCTCTTTTTCTTTTTAACCAGCACCTGACAGAGGCATTTGATGCCTCACAGTTTTTGTATTGGAAAAGGAAGTGACCAACCTGTCCACTTGTTTCATTCTACACAAGCTTTCATAAACCTTTAGCACAGCCTACTCATGTTCTTCCAAATAAATGAGGTCCAGCCACCAAATCATTCCCTATATGGAAGCCATTCCACACATATGATCATCTTTGCTGCCCTTCCCTCAACCTTTTCCAATTCTACTATATTTTTTTAAGAGCAGGAGAGACCAGAACCTCACATATACTCACCATGTGTAATAACTTACAGAGCAGCATATTAAATTCTTTTCCTAATGATTCCTTGTTTGCTTTTTTTGGTCCTTCCTGAGCACTGAGCTGATGTTTTTAAGTTTTGATGTTTGGTAAGATGTTATTGCTGAGTGCTTCTAGCCAGCTCAGAGGTTATCATTTCATATGTCAAATTACATAGCTGAGCCTCACAAACTAGAACTTAGAAGAACTCACCCTGGACTATTTCGAGCTGAACCCAGTACTGCTCTAGAATGCTTTTTATCCAAAAAGAATTTATAAAGACAGAGAAAATTAATATATGATTCTCATTTAAGCATAACAACATATAACAATAATAACAACATATTATGGAAATTTAGGGCCACTTTCAAAAAAAAAACTGTATAATGCAGTTCAATCAATGAAATGCCAATATCATTAAAATTAAACCAAACTGCAGGGATTTGAAGCCATGATTTCCTCTTGCCTGGTTGTGCAACTTCTTCAATTCTAATAGAAGCTACGAGAAAAATTAATTAAATTAATTAAATTAATACAATGGAGGAACCCAAAACAGGTTCACAGAAATACATATTTAAGCAAGCAGCAAAATGAGGGCTTGAAACAAACATTACCATGGCTTAAAGGGTGATAAAAACGATAATGCCATGTACAAGATGTATGTCCAAATCACTCACCTCTCCTACTATCTCTTTTTATTTTATTGGGGTCTTCATAATCCCCCACCCAGTTATATTCTACTGGCATAGAAATAGGCCTTAGTTTCCCTGGAAACAGAAGAAAAAATGAGATCATGCACCATTTTATATGGCAGTGTTAAACTAACATTCTTTAAAAGAAAGAACAAATTAAATGCTAATGTGCTATTCTACAGGGTTGCTTATGAAAGAGTTTGCAGCATAGTTTCTGAACAAGTAAAATAGGAGTTTTATTTTCTTTAACAGGACAAGAAGCAGCTAAGTATTCATGGATTTTTTTTAAGCTTAGGAAATAAATCCAGTGCCTACTAAATCACCAACAGACTGAAGTTTGAGATTGAGCTTTCTCCAAATGTTTTAAGATTACAGATTAGTTTTCACTGAGCAATATCTGTTTATTATTCTGCAGGCCCTGGTACACACATGGAGAGGACTGTTTGAAAGCATAAAGAAGGAATTGTTTCTAACAGAAACACGTCCACATCACTAAAGTACCTTCACAAATGGCGTCTTTGCTGGTGGGCTTAAAAGATCCCTCAGTGAATGAATGAGAAAGGAAACAGAAAACCTCCATGTGTAATTTCTTTTTGCAGCGTTTTATCCACAGAAAAACACAGCATATTAGTACTGGAAAATTCACTTTGATCTCGGAAGATAATCAGAGACAGAAAAACTGAAGAGTACTGTATCTTTAAAGTTTTAATGTGGAAGCTGCTGAAGTGATTTTTAAAAATGCTGTGAATTCCTGCTTAAAAATTTCACAAATACAGGTGGAAATTCAGTGAAAATATGTCATGCAACTTAGTACAGCTACTTAGAGAGATCTGAAATTTTTAGCAAGTTAAATAGTATAGGGAAACAAAAAAAGAATAACATGGCACAGGGCAGACTGAAAACAAAATGTTTTCAGAAACAAGGTTAGCGTTTGCTCTTTTTTAAATCAGTCCACTAGTCACAATGCATAAAAATGGGAAAATAATTTGTTTCCAAGCCTAGCACAGCTCAAACTAAAAACTTCAGAACTCTTGTTAAGTATTTTATTAGAAAACCTCCTCAGTAAAGATGATCAATCCTATTAATTCCACATATTTGATGGTAAATCCATGATATGCTGAAAAAAAGACATTTGCTTATACTGAATAAAAATATTCATGTGTCTATTATCCACCCACTTAAATACGGCATCCATGGAACTGCATCAATACCTTGTATATTGTATAACAGGAAAAGGTTATACTGGCTTTTTAAAAAAAAGATATGATGGTGATCTCAGAAAAAATGTATGAGATAAGTTCTGTACAGATTACAGGGTCAGTTCACAAATACATCATTATCTAGGAAATACAGCTTACATATTTAACTTTTTATTTATCATTTATTCAACTATTTATGGGCACATGTATAAGTTTGGTTGAGTGAAGTCAGTGAGATTTAAAGCACATGGTTACGAAGTCATTTCCTGAGAAAGGATATGTTAGGCTCGTGTATATTTTAACAGAAGTATCTCTCAATGGTTACTTTTTCTAGAAATACAACTTTCTTTTCTACATGACACGTTTTCTATGTTTTCTTTTCTTCACAATATATTATACAAAGCACTTGCACATGTAAAAAGATCCACAAGCTATAAAATCAAGTAAAGCTTGGTTACTATCAAAGGCTATAGCAATAACAAATATTGTGCAAAATCTCTGGCTGTTTGAAGTGCATACTTTTTATATCTGGCACTGGAATGACCAAATTCATTCCTTCTGTTGAACTCAAGTTTCTCATCTGCCTGCCTCGTCTGCTAATCTCCTCCTTGTTAACCCACATGGATCCACTAAATCTGTTTTCCCTGGTGACTACGCTCAGGAAAGCGTCTTTGGGTTGTGAACAGAAGCTCACTGAGGCCAGTGACAAGGCTCGCTGAGGCCAGTGTAATTAGCAACATTATGCAACAGCTGGAAGCCAGTAAGTGCATGGAGAGAAATCTCTTCGTTAAAATTGTCAAAAAAAGTCAATAGATTCCTAAAGAGCAATTATGGAGGGCCCTGTTAACCCCTTATGAAGGAAGACTGAGAAGCATTATAGAAAAAAAAATGTCATCGCATAATTAATGAGTACATGCTGAAAACAATTATTTTTCTAGCTTTAATAACCTTCTTTAATAGGTCACCATAAAAAAGAAGGCTGTTATTGTCATATTACAGATTTCTGTCAAATCCTAAGGTCAGGCCTAGCCACAAATCTTATGCTAACAAAGGCCATGTGGGAAAGTTTATAATTTAATGCTGAAATGGTAATATTCTTCGAAAATAAACTTAACTGAAAACAGACTCTCTGGTCTGAATTTATTAAAAAAGAAGTGAGATTAAAAATGAAAAGCCATATACTAAATGTGTTAAATAATGACTTGTTCTCAGCACAATCTTCGATCTATGTATTTACAACCCTTTCTGCTAATGAAAAAAAAGATAAAAAAGCTATCTGCTAGCAAAATAATGGATTCAGCAACCCTTGAACACAAAATGTGCTCTTCTTCACTCTAGATCACTAGGATTAAAATTCAAAGTCAGGAACAGAGAGTACCTGTGTTAAAGGAACTGACTGCATCTACCAATTTTAACAGATAAAATGGAGGAATAATTAAATTGATGTATCAACTTTGAACACTTAGCAGTGTTAGAACACTATACAGTATAGGAAGGGCTAGAAAACACCTGAAAATGCTTCAAATCAAAAGGATACTGAGAATTTTGCAGCAGGACTGTGTGGCTCTGTAAAACAGGTGCATTTTATAAAAGTACATCCTTTAACATTCTGTAACTGCATCTCTCAAAGTCCTGAGGATACATTTTGCAGCTCAGGCTCAATTCATATGAACATTCCCAGGTGATTTTGGAGCTTTGCTGCATGATGTACCAATTCTGTGCTTTCTCATAGATTTATGTCTTTCTTCTCAGTATGATGTCACGATTACTACAGTTACTCCAACATACAGCTTGCACTCAGTTTAGTAATTAAAATAATATAGAAAGTGGGGCAAAAACATATTCAGGAATGTGTTCAGCTAATACCGTAGTAATAGAAATATCTTTTTTCAAGGCAGCCTTATGCGCCATACCGTAGTTATGCTCAAGGAATTCTGCTTATTTTTTATGTCAAAACCTGCAGACACTCCCCAAAACATTTTTGCATTCCTTGCTCTCCACAGAAACCTAAGAAGAATGCAATGAGGTGAAGGGATAAAATGAAATGAGATTCCCTCTTCATTTTCTTCTAACAACTCTACAATTGGGCAATTTTGTATTTGGCAATAGAAAAGCAATTCTCCTAGTCCAAAGCTGAAACAAGTTACAATGCTAGCTGAGGGAAGAGTTCCTATAGCCTGAAAGGGAAAATAACTTGGAACATGAAGGTCTGAAGAGTCAAACTGTCACCAGGATTTGTTTCAAAATTCTCACCCTATCTAGGTCAAAATCCAAGATGTAGCAAGATGCACCAGCATGAAGACATGTTTGTGTTTACATGCGTAATCCTTTTTTGGACAACATATAACCTCAAAAAAAGAGGGACAGCTAAATATAGGAAGTTACAGGAGGTTAATACAGTATTACAAAAAAAAGCATATCATCAGTCATTACTTCTTTTCTAGGATTAGAGAAAAACTGAAGAGTTGTAAGCATGAAAGCAGCATGTCAGCACTTGGTAAACCTGAACTGCTTTTGATCTTTAGAATGATTACTCCCAGGTAAATTTTTCTGATATAGTGTGTTCTAAGCCCATGCAATGATTGCCCTCATACTGGGAGCAAACTTCCATCCTTCATTTTTAGGATAAATATGTATTTAGCACAAATACGTCAGCTTCTCTGACAAAATGATACTGCAGCATAAGCTAGAAAATGAAGCTGATTAAATTTCGAATAAAGGTTTTGTCTAGAACTTACAGTCAGACAGACCATCGATACAAAACTGGACTCCCTATTATAATAAGTAATTCATTTTCTTCATGTGCAGAATAAGCTCTTAGGTTGAGATCAGACTCAACTAAAACTGAATTCTTAGCAAAATCAGTGGTCACTGAGAATATTTTTATGCTAAAATGCAAAAGCAGACGCATGAAAAAACCTAAAGTCAAAATAAGAAAAGGGGGATTAATCTTATCAGATCAGTGCCATACCATATGTTGGCGTGCTCTCTCTCCTCCCAGGGCCACTTGTTCTTCCTTTCTCATACTCATAGCAGTATAAAACTGCATCTTCTTCAACCACATTAAAGCGCTTCCGATATTCCTGGTCAAGAAACGAATTTGGAGATTCGGATCCTGTGTGAACCGGCTTGCCCACTATATGTCTGCCGACATCATCGCACGGAAGATTTCCCTTTTCATCCCTTCAGCAAACAAGAGAGCTCTTTAATACACTGGGACAAGACACTTTAAAGTTTTTTTACTTAAATGTAATACTAATTAAACGTAATTTAATATTCCAAAAAATATGGGATAAATATGTCAATATCGCATCGAAGCGGGAGGCGGGTGCCATCGACCTGTGCCAGGATCACACATCGCATACGCACGCAGACGCCCGCAGACGCCACTTATCCCCCAGGTCTCTGCTCCTTCTCTTCCATCACAGACCGTGCCTATCTTACTGGCTTCCTGTGAAAGGGATCGTACAAATAAATCTGTATCTATCTATCTTACTGATTTCTTGTGAAAGGAACCACCCAAGTAAAGCTGACAGGTACAGCTGCTCTTTCTCTCTTCCCTTCGGAAGGTCCCCAGCGTTTCGCGACAACGTCGACCTCATTCTTTTACACTGTTTTGCCTTTTCAAACGCCTCGGACAGCTTTTAAGACTTGGCGACACAGTCAAGATGGGAAAACCCAATCTGGTTCTGTACAAACGAACCTCACTTTCCTTTCCTTTCCTTTGGGAAAACGCA